GAATGTTCAGTCAAAAACTCTGATTAGCAATGGATTCCTGGATCCCACGCTATGTCTGTTTCACGACTCACATGAAGATAAAACTTTCTAATACATGATATTCAACTCTGACCAACCACCCAGGTCAGAAAAGGCTCCACTAGCTTGCTGTTCCTCCTCCAGAAAGCAACAATCCCAGAATGACCATCTTAGAATTCTATCAGAGAATCGGAAAACTCTTACCTCTCAGCTACCATGGGCCAAAGTCAGAGGAGATATCCTGCCTCATATCTCTGAACAACATTCCTGAATCCTCCATATTTGTCAAGCCATATATCATGGTGGATACTATGGTGGGAACTACCACAGTAAGGAATGCTCAGTCAAAAACTCTGATGAGCAATGGATTCCTGGATCCCACACTATGTCTGTTTCACCACTCACATGAAGACAAAACTTTCCAATATGCAAACATTCAACTATCATTGCCTCATATTTCTGAACAACATTCCTGAATCCTCCATATTTGTCAAGCCATATATCATGATGGATACTATTATGGTGGGAGGCTGGAGCTACCACAGTAAAGAACACTTAGTCAAGAACTCTGATTAGCAATGGATTCCTGGATCCCACACTATGTCTGTCTAACCACTCACATGAAGACAAAACTTTCCAATATGCAAACATTCAACTATCACCAGCCACCCAGGTCAGAAAAGGCTCCACTAGCTTGCTTTTCCTCCTCCAGAAAGCAACAGACCCAGAATGACTATCTTAGAATTCTATCAGAGAATTGGAAGACTCTTACACCTCAGCTACCATGGGTTGAAGACAGAGGAGATATCCTGCCTCATAGCTCTGAACAACATTCCTGAATCCTACATATTTGTCAAGCCACGTATCATAGTGGATACTATGGTGGGAGCTACCATAGTGAAGAATGCTCAGTCAAAAACTCTGATTAACAATGGACTCCTGGATCCCACGCTATGTCTGTTTCACCACTCACACGAAGACAACACTTTCTAAAATGCAACATTCAACCATCACCAGCCATCCAGGTCAGAAAAGGCTCCACTAGCTTGCTTTTCCTCCTCCAGAAAGCAGTGGTCCCAGGATGACCACCTTAGAATTCCATCAGAGAATAGGAAATCTCTTACCTCTCAGCTAACATGGGCCAAAGTCAGAGGAGATATCCTACCTCATATCTCTGAACAACATTCCTGAATCCTCCATATTTGTCCAGCCATTTATCACGGTGCCTACTATTATAGCGGGAGCTACCACAGTGACGGATGTTCTATCAAAAACATGCCCTGATTATCCATGGACACTGTTAATGTCACATTTTGTTATGATATATACTGTTATGTTATACATGGTTACGATACTCATTATGCTGTCATAAGCTATA